CAGGATGTGGTGAAAGGCACGGAAGCCTTTCTATAAAAAACCACAAAAATCCGATGACGACCTTGTGACATGGCGACAAAAGACCGCCATCTAATAGGTCTTTCCCTAGCGTTGGACAGTGGCAGCGCTAGTACTGGCAGAGGGCCGAAGAAATTATTTCGGGAAGGGCCTTTGACCAGATATCAGCAGACAGGTAACTCTGGCTGGTGTACCACGGTGTGGAAGGCAAATGGGGAAACCACCACACAAACTTCCCTAACAAATGGAGCAAGAGCTCCACCGACAAGAGCGCAGCTTTTAAATGGATAGATAGATAGATAGAAAAAAAATGTACTAAAATTTTCATGATCTTTTTTTTATGCCACTGAGGTAGGAAATGGCCCACCTGATGGAAAGCGGTTACCGTAATCTATTAACGCCTACAATATTAGGAGCATTATGTGCACATTACCGACTCTAAAAAACTATATATTGCCTCTGTCTATGTATTTCAAGTAGTAGTAAATTGAACGAAAATTTGGAAGTCCAAGACGAATTCTGATATCGTTTTATGGACAATTTTCTTTAATCCGACCTCTATCTAAATTTCTCCACGTTAAAGAAGTCTTCTATCCGCACGAATGGCAACCCTAATTCCTTAACAGCACTTTCCATACAAGAGAGCATTACGCCATTACTCATCTCTCACAACGTGTATTTCCAGGGAAAGCTCAATAGGTACCTTCAGTTACCTACAGAGTCGAAGGTTAGGGTCTTATTACGAACAAGTAGGAGGTCAATTGCCAATGATACCGAATTAATTCTCGGTAGTGCATTATTGAATATAGGGTTGATACTTTTCCGAATGTTCTGTGTAATTTAATAATTAATAAAAATCGGTCAGAGGCCAGGGTGTCGAGTACTCACATATATCGTTAATGCGTCATACTTTAAGAATGAATAAACAGTGTAGAAGCGACACTTGCATACTTTGTAAACGAGGCAGTTCCACTTTTTTCTTTTGGAATCCCATATATATATATATATATATATATAAATTGACAGGGTTGTCACAAATTTATTTTACTGAACTAGGTGTTATCTTGCGGAAGTCCATATCACTGGTTACTTGATTAGAATCATTTCGTTTAATTCCGCTACCATTAGTATGTGTGTGAGTGTGTGAAACACTCGAAGATTGAACACCATTTTTATTACCAGAAGTTCCACGGCCTTCTTTATTAGTCATCAGTCTCCAACTGCTATTTTTACTCTAAACGAGAAATCCTCAGCCAAATTATTAGATTGCTGATCAAATCAGTTTTCCGCAGTTTGGGTGCCGAACTGATGGACATACTAATGGTACCGGAATTGAACAAAATAATTCTAATCACAAGACGAAAGCAAGTCAGTTGTCCAATAATGACGAATTTCACAAGATTCAACCAGGAAGGTTGGGGGAAAAGGGATTGTTAGTAATGGAGATTGAGAATCCCATTTCTAGCAATATACTCAACCAGGTCGACCTCCTCGCGGTTTCCCCTGGAAACTATCATGGTTAATTCCTAATGAATTCATCATGATGGGCTAACTGGCATGTTTTCATTCTCATCTATTACTTTTCACTGGTGCTCCGCCAGCGTATCCCGTTAGCGCAGGCGGGGTTACCATTCCATTTTCACCCATCAAAAAAAAAACAAAGCTTTCCAGGGGGATCCGCGTAGTGGTGGACCTGATGTGGTATATTACTAGCAATGGAGTTGTTAGACCTCATTGCTAACAATCCTCCCTCAACATTTTAGAATTTCATTATGTTCATTTGGATTTAGGAATATCTTTCATTATTATCACTAAACTCCTCGCTTTCTTTCCAGCAATAATTGGAAGTAGTTTAAGAGAAAATGTTCAACCTACAAAATTGTCAAAATTGGATAATGATATCAAGATGATGTAGCAACTACACCTCGGACACTACACTGTTTTGGTAGATACTTAATTTTGTGTATATAAATGCGTTCTGCTAAAGTATGTTCCATTTCATAAGATTATGTTCCACGAAAAACCGACTTCGATTGTAGTAAAACCAGTTATTTTGGTTTCAAAACCAAACTATTGAATCCATTCTGATAAAACTTCTATCGAGACCAGTCTATAAAGGTAAAGAAGGTTCAGGTAAAGAAAGCATTTCCTAAGTCTGTTTACAATTAACAGAGTTATAAACATGTAATACAAGTAATAAACATACAAAATATTTAACTGAATTAGGTGCTATTTTGTCGAAATCCATATCCCTGGTTAGTTGTTTAGAATTATTTTGTTTAATTCCGCTACCATTAGTATGGACACATTCGAAGATTGCCTACTATTATTATTGCCAGAATTTCTACAACCTTCCATATTAGCCATCAATCTCCTACCACTATTCAGTTCACGCACATTTTGCGATACGGGTTTCACTTTAAAAACATGGAAAGAATTAAACCCAACCGAGAATCTTCTTCTTTTTGAAGTCGGTTGATAAATGTTTCATGATTCCGTGTTTTCAAGTAATACGCCTTGGACATCCATAATCATACGGTGTTGCTCTGAATCGAGACGAGTTTCGTAGCGTGACGAATGCCAGATCGTTCCAATTAATGATGATTCAGGTTACGAGGTTTTACTTTAAAGCATCAATTGATGTGTTTCTTGGCCCTTTACAGCTTTTACGATCTTAGGATTTTAAAGTTACTGCCGAGAAAATCAGATTAATGTTTTTGTTATAGATTACGTACCACATAAAACGATGGGAATGTTAAATCCGATTTACGTATGACGGAATTGGAAACCATTAAAATTTTATATTTTTATGTTTTTCTATCCATTCAATGATACGTTTTATTATTCTGTTGGTGTATGGCTTTAGAAATCGATGTACTATTAAATGAATATCAATAGAACGTTTTCATTTCACTATTTTCACTTTCAATAGACAATCATCATCATCATCATATCAGCCATTAAATGTCCACTGCTGAACATAGCGTCCTTCATTTTGGAAGATTTTCCAGTAGTTGCCATGCTTGGCAGGCGGATTAGCAACTGTAGTTAGGCTTTGGTGATGTTTAAAGAGAGACGCTGCTGTCCATCCCTCGATCATTTAATTTTCTAAGTCGCTTACGACACCCACGGGAAAGAAAGGGGTAGCTTATCTTATGCCGAAATCACACGGGCTAGAATATGTAATATTTCAATACACAATATCTTCTTCTAAATATCTGGTAACCTGGATTTCCGGAGTGGTGATAGCGGTATGCAAACCAAAGATGTGTAAACGAGATGGAGCGTTCAATGTATGACCTTCATGTTTATCCCGAGGCGATCATAATACTAGAGTCAAATGTCTGGGATACCTAGAAATAGCTTTCTCGGAGGGCAGCACTCAGCCGTAGAGTGAAAGTCAAGCCTGAGGGCACGGAATAAAGGCCAAGGCCTTGACTCTATAAACGCTCTTAACTAATTTACATAAAGAAATAAAAATATCGATTATGACGAGCTTATTTAAGAAGCGGAAGCGTAAAGAAATGGAATGCGTCCGGTAATTGTTGGGCTGGTTTCTTAAATGCTACATATGTCGGTTAAGGCATGTACTACTGCTATACGTCTCAAAATACCACAAAAAAATTCAAATATGTCTGTTAAAGCATAGACTACTACATTATGTATCAAAAAATTACAAAATATTTTAAAAGCTATTCACACGACCTTAAACAAATTCAAATCAACTTTGTATAGTTTCTTTAGTTAAGTTTATTCAGCTTAATAACAGCATGGCATGTATCATTGCACATATGTATAGATTATAAGTATACAAATCTTTCAAATCCAAAGTATTACTGTAGTCTAACTATTTATTGTATAACTAATATTGTAGTTTTTATAAATTTTCATATTAATAATAATGTATTATGAATACGCGTGTCGTGGCGGCCTTTAATTGAGGCAGCATTTTATAACGTAACCTTATTATAATGTATTTTAAGTACATATAAATGTATGCTTTGTTAGTTGTCCTTAAATAAATAAATAAATAAATAAAAGCTCAATATATTTCGTCTCTTTTGGATTGATTTTTTTTTTTTGAGAAAAATGTTCAGTTTCATTTTTTTTCGTTTAGATCTATTTATATAAGTTCATTTCCTAAATTCTCATTAAAGCAAACTAAAGCCACTGCAGTACAGACGTCGTCATTGATTAAAACTATTTTGATAATTTCGATCTCTGTAAATGAACGGCTTTCTTTAAATTGTTATCATATCTTTTTTTTTTTATACCACTGAGGTGGCAAACAAGCATACGGCCCACCTGATGGCAAGTGGTTACCGTAGCCTATGAACGCCTGCAATACCAGAGGTATTACGCGCGCGTTGTCGACCCTGAAGAAACCTCTTTACTCCCCTGTTGAAGACATATGAAAACAACATAAACGTATTAAAAATAATTCTAGCTTATCCTGACAATTATTCTGGGATTTTATTTTATGATTACGAGTCAGTTAATAATTATAATAACGTAAACGCATTGCGTGCGTCTGCGCATATGATGGCGTTTGTAATTAAACTGCGGCTAAGGGCGGTCCCTTTGTGACTGACTGACTCGGTTAATAGTTAAAATTATTAAGACCACTCTCTAGTCCTTATTTTATTAGAATCGTGTAATGTTTTTTTTATAAATTTAATTAATTTATTTTTAACAAATTTTTTTGCTCTCCCTATGAATTAGGAAGTCTAATGAAATAGCCCACTTATAAGTGTACTAAGTTAAAATATATACCACATATTAGGTTAGACTTTCAGAAACACAATTGCGATACTGTATTCAATTTGATGTAGTAGTTTTGGTGTGATGTCAAAACCAATGTACCATTCATACAGACAGTCGAATTTTCGAAAAAATATTGTTTTGACCTGATTTTATATATATATATATATATATATATATATATATAAAATACTATAGTCGAGTACTTGATGTAATGAAAGACTACTATGTAATGTTAGGACTTGATCAAAAATTATCAATCAGTTTGAATCAGTTAACAGAAACTTTGATAGTTTCAGAGAAATCGATTGAGAAATTTAAAAAATCACATAAAACGCCCCCGCATGCGAATAAACGAATGGTCACGTCTTAATTCGGCGGTTTGATTGGAGCCGAAGTAGTTTTTTATGGCGTCTGACACATTCCGTCAATTTATCAGCGAAAGTTATCTAAACACTTGTATCAACATCATAAAAAATAATAATTAGGTGTTATTTTAGACTAAAATGGGGGAAACGGATATACATACTTCTTATTAATGTCACCCATTATTTACATAAATGCAACCGTTGACGCATTAAAAGAGAAATTTGACGTGTGCCATCACTCACTTTCCTACTGTCATCGTTCCTATTAGGTTTATAATAGATTTTTTTATTGAGTTTGCTGTTTACATAATAAACATTAGCAGATATGTCCTCCGAAGATTTCCAAGATGAACCGGTAACGGTGGATGTAATGATATTAGATACTAAAAGCGAAAGTTCCGTGGAACCACCTATAGAGGAATGGCCGTCATTGGTAATATCCATTCCAGAAGAAAATAATAAACGTGCTATGTATAAAACAGATCTATATAGTCCTGGTAGTGGCGAAATATGTACGAAATACATTAGCATGTCCGATAGTTCAATTTTTAGACATCCTTATTATAACTACCCAGCAGTTCTTGATCCCGGCATAGAAAATGCTCTATTTGCTGTTGACGAAAAGAAAATATATCCTGATGATGGCCAAGAGTTATACGTGGCTGTCTGCAAAGACATGAATCAACATTGCGTCAAAATTTTCCAAAAGGGTTTACTCGAAGAAGTTATCGATTTGAAGTATTACTGTGTTAATTCAGCTGGTGTTCGTCCAATGGCTATAGCTTTGCAACATAATAAATACGTTAAAATTTTAAATGTAACTGATAACTTTTTGAATGAAGACGCCTGTTACCATCTCGGCGAAATGCTTACCACCAATTGTTGCCTCTGTGAGCTGATTTTATCTGGTTGTAGAATAGGACCAGCGGGTGCAAGGCGATTATTCGCTGGGTTGGCAGTAAATAGAGCTCTTAAAATACTTGATTTAAGTAGAAATCAACTAGGAGACACTGCTATGGAATATATAGCAAATGCAATTGTTCTTGGCCTCGACGTTAAGAAAATATATTTGAGTTATAATAATATAAGTGGGAAAGGTGTTGGTGTTCTAGCAGAGGCATTTCAAACACACAATAAATTTACTCATTTAGACCTCTCATGGAACAATCTGTTTTCTCCTTTAGGCGTCTACAATTTTCTTAGCAGTTTATCAGAGAATAAGTTCCTTCAAGAATTGAATCTCACATGGAACTCTATGTCTGGACCTCGACTTGGTACTGCCATCAAAAATTGTATGGTAGCTCCAAATTTGCGCCATTTAAACCTAAGTAACAATAAATTGTCAGGGGAAGCCATTACGAACTTGATTGGTAATATGAGTAAAGCTAAAAAATTAGTTACACTAGATTTATCTTACAATCCAATGACCCCAGATGATGCTCTATTAGTGCTTACTAAAATGAAATCGCCTGCTGTTAAATTACAGACACTTCTCATGAATAACGTGTTCGTAAATAGTAATTTTTTGGATTTACTACAACAACTTAAAGAAATGAAATCGAAGAGGAATACAGTTGTAACTTATGGTGGCTCTATCAACTATTTCAAACCACAAGGTGTTAATATCAGGGAATTGGTACTAAACCGTGCGGAGTATTTAGCTAAAAAGTCGAGAAAACATCCGGTAGATATAGCTCTTGTTGCATTACAATTATTGAAAGATAAATATGTAATTATGTCTGCTAAAGACTTTTCAACGGCTATATCCAAGTCTGGAGCTCCTCTGGATGATGATCTTATTGATGAGATAGTGAATGCATTTGCTGGACCTAAATTGGCAAAATCAAAAACCATAGATATACGACTATTGGCGGATTATGTTAAGAGGAAATGGCCGGAACGGCAGTTGCCTCCGTCGCCGCTTCCTGAACCAGAACCTGAGCCTATACCAAAACCTGTTAAAAATCTGAAGGCAGGTAAAGGAGGCAAAAAAGGAAAGAAGTAATTGTATCTTTAATTGTAACTTTACTGTTCTATTCACATATAAAACTCGTTGTAACTATTTTTATAGAAATATTATATTAATGTAACTATATTTTAATTACTTTGTTGTTATTCAGCTATGCCTTTGTTTTTTAAGATTGATTTGACTTTTTTTTTTTATTTAAGAAAACTTGTATTTATTTAATAAAATGTTTAATAAAAGTTATTATTTCGTTTTAGATATATATGTAATTATAGTGAGTCGAGTCTATGTTCCAAATTCAAAATTGACTTTCCAAGAATTAGACCTATCATGGAACTTATTGAGTCAGCGTGTAAGCAATTGTACGAAAATGTTTTTAACTAACTAAAATATGCATCGGCTCTGTCTTTGTAACAATAAACAAGAAGGCGTTGCTCTTAAATCCATAGCAGTTACTCTAAATAAAGCAGTAAAACTGGAAACCTTAAAGTTATTTTAAAATCCTTTGACGCCTGTAGATCCGCTAACTTCACTTTTGCGTCTGAAAGATCGCTTAGTAAAATTACAGCGCCTTGTTCTCGATAATATATTTGTAACTAAAGAATTTTTAGACGTACGAGACGAGATACTCTCGTACAAGTTTCGGAAGAATACAGTTATTACTTGGGGTGGGTTAAAGTCCAATTTCTTGCCTTATTATTAAACAGAGCTGAGACTATTTGTACTAAATCAACGAAAAATGTTGTCGATATAGCTCTAATTATTATGCAGATGTACAAAACAGATAAAGTGCAGACATAACCTTCAAGAAAAGAGTATATTCCTTTTTAAAAGGCCGGCAGCACACCTGCAATGCCGCTGATGTTGTGGGTGATCATGGGCGGCGGTAGTCACTTACCATCAGGTGAGCCGCATGCTCGTTTGCCCCCTGTGCTGTAAAAAAAAAAAAAAGGTCCAAAGGAATTTAGTCGCAAAGTCAGGAGTCAAGTGCATAACTAGAGACTTAATAGAAGAATTTGCTAATATTTTTGCTGGACCAATTTTGTCGTCCGATCGCAAACAATATCCAACTCCGTTTACTGAAACACCTAAAATAGAAATATCTCCTAAAAAAAGACAAAAAGAAAGAGTAGTTTTGCGAGTTGAGAAACTATTTAAGAATTTAGTGACTGCATATACATAGTTTAGGTACAGATTGTGTTTCCTAGAATTATTCTAATTGTTTCTTGTTATATTATTTTAATAAATAAATTGTGGCATGTTCCCAGGGTTTAAATATCTCGCATCGTGAGGTCTGCCTGTTCTACAATAGTCTAAACGAGTGATTTACATCACCGACACAAAGAAGAGCGCGTGATCTGTGCCCATTGTGGTACGGCACGGTGTGCATAATAAGTTGTGCATGCAAATATATCTTGAAAGTGTTCACGTTCTGCAAGGTGATAGTTAGGGATTTACAATTGTGATTTACATCGTTATGGCCGGGCTGGTTATATTGTGTCCACTGTCAAATACAGCGCGATATAAGAATTATGCTTAAATTCGTAGCTTTTAAGTTATTCGTGTGGTCACTAGGTAACTTCATTACATTACTGTATACATATTATTTTTAAAAATTATGTTCATTTGTTAGCGATGTATATAAGAAAGACGGCATGCTGTGATGCACGCTGTACGTCCGCTAAAGAAGACTTTCGGATGAAGTCGAAACAATTGTCGGAAACGAATAACAGCAAAATTATAAAATTCTCGTTAATTGCGATAAATTGTGTCAAATAATGATAATGGACTATTTTTTTTTAGAAAATGGTCTTGAACAAACTAGGTAATAAGTGCGTTATTAATTTTTAGGTTTTCCCTAGTGGCTATAGTTTGCGGTTCTTCAAAAAGGGTATACGAGGTTTCTTTAGAGTCACAAACACGCACGTGACACCCCTGGTGTTGCATTCGTCCATAGACAACAGTGACCGTTTACCATTAGACGGATTGTATGCTTGTTTACCATCTTTAACAATAATAATAACTATAAAGTTATACCAAAAGTGTAACTGAAGAATTGAAATCGTAAAAATAAATTATTAAAATCAATTTCCCAACCATCAAAGTATTGTATTCACACAACCTGTTTCATATAAAAGTTATTACAGTTATTGTAAATTACTGGAACTTAATTTTGTAACTTGGTTTGAACGAGTCTGTCTAAAAATGTAGAAGGACACGGCACCTGATATAGAATGTAAAGTTGAAAGATGCAGATATTTGAGATGACCTAGACGAGACAAGAGAGGTAACAGACACCTTTCAAGGAGACGACCTTCAGTAATGAAGTGGAGGAAGAGAGAGAGACGAATTTATCTATCATCGTCGTTATAGAGCTAGTAATATCAATTTTACCAGAGGGAGACTTTGTACAAAAGTCGTTTGCTCGGGTACCTCTGCCCCATTCGTGTTTCAACCGTAAAGCAGCTGTGTTTGCATGGCTGTGTTTCGGTTTGAAGGGTGGGATATAGCGTGAATTTACTGGATACAGAGGAATAACATTTGAGTCCATGTTAACAGTTATGTCCATGGTACTACTGCTCATGTCTATAGGCGACGGTTACCACTTTCCATCAGGTGGGCCGTCAGCTTGTTTGCCATTCTAAGTTGTATAAAAAATTATTATTTAAAAATTATCTATCTTTTGATTTTTCTTTAAAGAAAATAAAATAAATAGTAACGTGTAGTAATTGCGGTTATATATGTAAAACAGCTAACAATTAGTCCGGCAAATTACAACAGGATATAACCGTGTGTGTACGGAGATGTGCCGAGCGCCCGCGGCCACTCCGGCGCACGGTAGCGTGCGTCACGCAAGCAAAGTCTGTCTGCTTTATTATTATTTATTGCTTTCCAATAATCTGTACATAGATAATATGTTTGGTAATATATAAAATCCCGCTCGGCGGCATTCTGACATGTCCAATGAAGTTTCAGTAATATACTATTACAATATAATAAGATTCCTTTAAATATGGACAAAATTGTTCCTCCCTCGATTTAATCTCGACCCTTCTCTGTTTCATATGTGACTCAATTGTGTTCGTTAAAAATTAAAAAATAACCTTTTTTTTATTTATTCACATGTGTGTGTGTACAGATGTCATCTATTTTTATATTAATGACAACCCTTAGTAGATGACAGAATTTTTCACTGACTTCCAAATGAAGAAGGTATTCGACGGTTTTTGTTGTATTTTTTAATCTTAAGTATCCAGGATGTTGTATTACTATTTTTTTTTGTTTAGAAGGTAGTTTATAAAACCATCTCTTACCATCATTGCCTTTAATAAATATAGCCAAGTTTATTGTAATTTACTATTGTTTACTATTAAACATATACCTTCATTATGGAATAGGACGGTCTCGAGTTACCTGTAACCATTGACTTCCTACAAGACATTTGAGTGTCGCTTCATCTCTATACATTGAAATCTTAATGCCATAACTTTATCTATGGATCTTGATAAACATTTAACATTTATACTTATTATGGATGTAAAATGGTAACCTCGCCTGCGCTAGTGGTATACGCTGGCGGAACACTAGTGAGGGATGATAGCTAAGAATGAAGCAGATCAGTTAGCCAATCGTGATGAATTACACCTGAACTTCAGGCCTATCGTGACTAATTTAACAATAATCATATTTTTTTAAATATCTTCTGTCTGCAGACATATTTTTTTATTATATTAGTAAGATATGTAATAATATAATGTACTCAAAAGTTATTTCTTTGTTTCAGGTAAATTTTGGAAATCGAAACATGAAAATGGAAAAACGATCCTGAGACGAAGTAAAAACATTTAACTTCCAGCATGTTACTTAGATTAAAACAAAAATGTGCACCTTAATCCGCTCCGTGCATAACTTTAATCTCGGTTAACTTTATCTAATTCTAGATAAGAATCTGTTTAAGATTTCTATATAAATTAACCGGTAGATTTATAATACCTTTGTCGGCCGAACCTCCTGACTTCCGTCCCCCACACGATTTTTAATTAAAAGTTAAATTAAAAAGTTAATTGATCTGTATTTTAGCAGCCGCGAGATAGTAACACATAAATTAAATTTTAATGAACCAAAGTGTAAGGAGTGTATGGCCCGACAATAGTTTTAACGGGTACCTTGCGATGTCTGTTTATTGATTTAATACAATTTCAAGGTTGATTATTGAAAATTATCTATTGCCATAACGATGTTTGTATTACGCTAAGGTCTCGGTAATACATTTCTTGGTCCATCCAAACGCACGCGTAATACCTCTGGTATTGCAGGTGTTCATAGGCTACGGTAACCGCTTGTCTTCAGGTGGGTCGTATGCTTGTTTGCCACCTCAGTGGTATAAAAAAAAATCTAGAATCCATTAGGAATCTAGACCAAGAATCTACATGTAATTACTGTTCTCTGCATTTGCATCAATTATTCATGTAAATCCTTAATTAAACAGATAATAAAAAATAATAATACAATGGGCAGCTTCGGTTAAATATGATGAATTGATAACAAATGAAACATAAATTATATTTTCAACCGACTTCAAGAAAAAGAAGGTTCTCAATTCTATACAGTTATAAACAAATTTGGAAAATTATATATTATAATAATTATATAAAGGATATACTTACAGATTGGTTTTAAAGAAATTTTAGCAAAATGTTTCAATATATTAAAATATTTTTAATCTAATGTATCAACAAAACATCTCTTGATTTATCAGTTTGTTTTATCTGTACATTCACTATTTTATGCAAAATTTACTTGTCTTTAAGTTAAAGGTCGCTAGCACCCTCACAATTGACTTAGACCAATTAATTAGATTTAATATCTTTGAAGAATGTTCTACTATTAAATATTGTTACTTCGAAAACATAGCCAATACTTTTACATTTGAACTTGTATGCTAAATTGACACCTTTCTTTAAGTTCTTTACAGCATTTGTGATAATTTTATGACTTACTATCGCAAGCCGTAGAAAGCGCACCAAGAGGCGCCAACGACGAGCGTGGGCGACACATTATCTATTCGGGGGCCGTCGTTTTTCCACGTGTGTTTACACTTTTACTTTTGTATGTATTCTCTCTATCGATACTTTGCCCTTCATTATATTATTCATTTTGACTTTCGCCATTAATTATGTCGACTACAACTGCCTTTACAGCTGTCAATTGGCTGTCGCCGATTCGTACGGTTGCATAATTTGTGTAATGTATTTTTGTAATTGCTTCAGATTTGTATGTAGGTACTTTATTATATTGTTTTTGTTCGGTTTCTTTACCTGACCTTCAGTCATACATATTCCATATACATCCTGCGCTGTACAGGATGTCCTATACTGAAGGTCAGATATTTAGTATCTTTGTCTAATACCTAGATCATTAATGTTTTGTTATCTACAGGTTCAAACCATTATATCTTAGATTCGATATCTTTTTTACTCCGACTATGATAATTCTCTCGTTAGTCCAATATTAATTTTGTAATAGTTCAAACTGCTGTTTTTTTCTGTAGAACAAAAGAACAGTGGATTGTAAAATTTAAATAATTTGAATCGAATGTGTCTACGAAACATTTTACGTGCCTACTGTATTTGTCACGATTGAAGCTGCTGTGTTTTTACACGTTCAAAATTTACTTGTTCAATAGGCCTTTCACGTGTCGTTTAAATGTCACCGAAAACCGAAAGTATCTGATCACACACGATCCTCATAATAATATATCAGGCAAAAAATAATGAACCTTTAAAAGAAATGCTTTAAAATTTTATGAGGTCCAAGAGTAAATTCAATTTCTTATCTCATGAGATTTTATGGAGACCCAATAAGGGTTGTATAGGCAATTTACGAAAACGCTGCGGGCTTCAATTTTTTCGTTGAATAAATATTACAGAAAGCTTGCTGTGTTCGGTGTTGGGAAAGATAAGTTTTATGGTGTAAATTTAAGTTGCTTTAAGCTCTAGACGATGTCACGTTGTTTTTTTTTTTATTTTATTCATTAACTTTCTGTGTTTGAAAAATTACGTTTAATAGATTAAAAAGTAAAATTTTAATCGTGATTTACATAGCGGTCTATGATAATTAATATATTAAAATATATGTACATCTATATTCTTTAGTTACGAGATTGCGTCTCTTCTGTAACCATTTTTAGAAATCTTGGGCCACAAATTATGATGCTCATTTGGTATTTATTTTTATTTTATTTATTTCTTAATCCATAATGTGGTTGGTATATAACACGTCAACTTCATTTATGGACCCTGTTGGGTATAGCAAGTAAGAGAGAAGAGAACAATCTTTTGTATTTATTTTATATATTGTCTCTCTTTCTGCTTCGCCTTATATAATTTTACTTGAGATCGGGTCTCCTCGTTTGTCTTCGCCGAGCCTGTTTATTTTGGATCATCGTATACTTTGTTTTATTCTTTTCCCATACTGTAAACGGCAGGTATCACCAACAAATACATACCCTACAAGGGTTGACGTCGGACAGGCAACCGGTCGTAAAACTAAAAGCCGAAACCTTGGATAACGTGGATAGAATCACATTACGCGACCTCAAATAATTGGAATTAGGGCTGGACGATGATGGTACTACTTTGTCTTCCTCGAATTTGGGTCTAAGTTTATAGTCTGTTTTCTATACTAAAGTTCAATAAAATTATTTTTAATTCGTCAAAAATTTAAGACGTCTTTAGGTTCATGATGATCATGAGCATCAGTCATCGAATTCATGCAATTCAGATTCGGTGAGTCGACTGATGGCATATAAATCGGATACATTACGATGGCTTCCCACGTCGTTTTTGCGCGTTGCGCGGGCGCTTCGGTTTCCCTTTCGTTGTGGCCGACTGTGGTAAATCAGTTGCGCATGCGTGGTACTCACGTACATATCTAGTTTACTGTACGGATTTATGGAATGAAAACACTTCGGGTGAATCCTGATAAAGAGTATTATCCCGTATTACAATTACCACTTTTAACTTTTTTCTTTTTTTTCTGTCTTTTTTACATTTCTTTTTTTTTTTTTAACGTATCATCTTTTTTATTCGCGATTTCAACCATATGCAAATTATTCTACAAAAGGTCTTTTTTTTTTATTTTACATGTTTGATATCAACCTCGTCAAATTAATTTATGATCTTTATCATACATACATCTTTATTGGGCAATTTTATTTTAGAAATTTAGCGGAAAAAATATTAATTGCATACAGTTTTGCATGATATGCGTAAATGAACATACTAAACTTTAAAAATAAAAAGAAAACCTGTACTATTGCAAGAAGAAAATTAATATGTAATATACTCGTATTACAATAATTGTAATTCCAAAACTTGCAAGTTCTGAATTATTAAAAAATATATCTTACTTTTGTTTTGTCTATTATTATTATGTAGTTTCAAAGCTGGATTGTGGTCATTTTAACTGACCAATGCATGTTTGTTTTATAAGTTTTGTTCAGCCATAGAACCA